GTATGTTAGCTCAGCCAACATTTACAAAATGTTTTTTTATAAATTGCATTTATTTAGTTTTAAATAATGCTTCCATGAAATTTTTCCTTCCTCACCAGCACTTCCTGGTGGCAAGTTATAAAACTGCCTTGTCAAATAATAACATGCTGATGTTTATTTTATTTTTTTTTGATACCCAAGGATACCTATTGCTAACATTAACAGGCATTATGACGGGAAGCCGAGATGGTAATAAAAGCCTTAACATGCACATCTGAACCATTCTGCCCACTTTTCTACAGACTCAGCTAGCGTGGCTTTCTGCTTGCTCTCTCCACCGAAGCTCCTGATTAAAAGCTTGTCATTTACACCAAAGAAATATGAACGGTGCGGCTGGCACTTGCCTCTTGGCACATTGCATTCTATACTCTGCCTGAGCAAACCGTGTAGAAAATGGCTTAAATGGTGCATAACACGTCCGTGAACCGGACCTATAAATACTTAAAATAGTTGAGTGCTATTCTTGTACAATTGCAGAGCCTTTATGTCCAAATGCACAGTTTAGTGTTCGCTAAAAGACCGAATCCCAGGAGCCTCTTTTCTCTCACTCTGAAAATCAGCTCTGTCCGCTGAATAGAAGTGGAGTCTTTTTGTTCCCTACCACAGTCAGCCAAGGCTTGGTTGGAGTCCAGAGAGTTCGGGTTTAGAATGCAGCTTTAGAATTCAAATGTGGCTGTTCAAAAAGAACTCACTAGAATCAGTGATGTCTCTTGTTCACTAATATGAACAAAAATGGTCTATCACCACATTTCAAGATTCATATTAGAAAAAATACACAATGATTCTAAATAGGGAACAAGTCCCTTATCCTGGAACCGTCTGCGACTAAAGAATCTTGAAGTAGTGAAATTTCACCCCTGGCACTGGAAGTTAGAAAACTGGGATCCTTGGTTCTATTTTGAGCTGTGTCTTTGAAGCTCCCCAAGCCACGGCGTCTGCTTGTCTTTATAAATGGCTGCAATCAAACCTTCTGCGAGCATCAGTGGGGAAGAGCTCTAAAATATTTAAGCTTTTCAAGCCAAAAGGACTGGATGAGAACAAAGATTATCATTATCATTTCATTAACTAGCTTTCAGGCGAGAGCTTTGAAAATATAATGCAGTGCTTCGAACATAATTAAAACCTTATAGAATTGAATTAAATGTCCATGCCATTTATGGCAGATTGATGGCAACAAAATGGATTTTAGGAAGGAAAATCTTGTCCAGTTTGGATGTTGAAACGCTTCAGGCCTTTTTTTTTTTTAAAGAATTTGTTTCTACTACATAGGAAATTATTTCAGTGCCAGAACAAGTTTATTCTTAAAACACGCTAAGTTCAGACTTTCCATAATGTGCACTGTCCTGGTGGTCAAGTCTGTGACTGGAATAGCCGTGCCCCAAAGCCCTAGAGGGCGACTGTGCTAATGCCGCCTGACGACTCCCTTTAGGAAAATGCTTCTACCCCACTGAGTTCACCACTGTCCAATTCTTCTCCTTCTGTGTCTAAGAGGAGCTGTGCAAAAGCCCCATTTATCATTCCGAGCTTCTCTTATCTCCAAGTCTCAATTTTATTTCTTTGTAATATCTATACCCACGAGCTGACAAGACTAATTGCTGTCCCTCAGAATTGCTTGCTTGTGTCCTCTTTCACCCACCAGATGACAATCTCTACCTGTAGGCTCCAGGTGAGCCGTGCCAGGAGCACACAGCTGCTCCAGGGTGGGGTGGGGGCTGTGTCATGCTGACATCCCTTCTCCACCACTGTCTGGTTGGCTTGCTCTGTTTTCAGCTCTGCCAAGGTCAGGTGCCTGCTGAGCTCTGACTCTGTCTATGACCTTGGAAATCTCCAGTGGGTATCTCCATCTTTTGGGGATATCCCAACTTCTGACGCTGTCTTGCCCTGTCACTCATTTCTACCATCTATGATTCAGCCTGTCTGTTTGGTTTCAACCGACTTTCTGTTCTAACCCCTAATTCACCAGATTTCTAACATTCGTGTTTAGCGTCCCCAGTTCTCAGTTCTCAACTGGTATTTGAGACCAGGCACCGAGGCCTGCACTTCTCAGGTGCAAACAAACTCGACCTATCTCTGATTGCAAGAATTCTCGGTTCTCACCTGGGCAGGATCCACATCATTTAGCATAACGACAGATGTGCAGTGATAATCCAGGACCAGTCTCCAGAAGTCTTTGACTGTGTTTGGCAAAGGATGCTGGGTGACTATAAAAGCCGAAGGCTGTTTATAGCTCTGCAAACACAAACAAGAAAGATCCAAATATACCCGGCAGAATGTGAAGGGAGGAAGTTATTTTGTGCAAAAGGAAACTTGTGGCACAAAACACTGAACATATTTAACAGTTGTTGAATTCTATCATTGTCAACACTAAAACAGAGTAAATATAAATTTATCTGCAGAATAACAATGATAAAATAATCTCATTTTGATACTAAGAAAACTTAATAAGTATCTCAACCAATTTTCTTTTATATTTCTGGTAGAAAGGCAATATCAAATCTATACATAGTTATTTTAATGCAGAAAATTTAACTTTTTAAAAATTATACATAATTAAAATAGTTCTGTTTTTGTAACGTGTGTTTGCTTGTCATTTGTACGTGTGATGTTATTTATGCCTGCCATAAAGCACACACATGCTTTTGACAGCTCTGGAGAGCTCTGAACAAGTTTCAGTACCTTTCATGATATCACGCCAACAGAACTGGAATTTCTATATTAGCCGTGAAAATACCCATTCGACGTTTCCCATCACTTGAAGAGCACGAAGTAAACAAACTGACAGTAAGTAATGAGTTGTATCTCTCCCCAGGTTAATTACAGCCTGAACTAGGAGGAAAGGGAACTATAAAAATGCTGCAAACCACATTAACCCATTTTCCTGCCATGGTGACTTAATGGCTGTCTCTCGCTCTCCCGCCAGTAGGTTAAAACTGTAAACGCTCAGAGGGGAACTGCACCATGTTTCACTTATCTACACTTCCGGCTGCTAGTCTCTGAGAGACCAAGAATGTCGGCCCTGACACAAAAGCATATGTGGAATCTGAAATCTATTTCTTGTTGAAAAAACAGTTCGCATCTTAAAAAGCACAAGGGCAGATGCACCGAACGAGAAGGCCCGTGGCGCGCTCCCCTGGAGAAACGCTTCCCGTCTCCTTCGCGGGGAAGGGCAGGGGCTTACGTCCATCAGGGCAGCATTGATGTAGTTGCTGCTCTCCCCGTCGATGGTGATGAGGAAGGGCAGGCAGCGGTCTGGGGGCAGGATGTCCATGCATCGGTTTTTCTCATGGTTCCTGGGCAGTAGCGCGATGCTGCAGTCTTCCACGCGTAGCGTCGGCGTCACCATGTTTAGGGTCTACGCGACAAAAGGAAGGCACGTGGGAAAGAGAATTGCTTGACGGTAAATCTGTCTCTAGGTCAGCATTTAAAAGGTGCACATTTCCTGCAGCTGACTGCAAGATGGCCCCTCCCCCCACAGTTGGATTTTTATTTCTCTTTTCTCTCCTTAGATTTTGTCCACAGATAGTGCCTATCAGACACCGGGGCCAGAGGCAGAGGCATAAGGGCTACTGGGGATCCCAAAGATTAAGAGCCATCAAGTCCCACTAGCTGGACACCTGGGGACGTGGGAGGTAAGAAGTGGGGGAAGGGTGGGCCCTTCAGGTACCTTTAGATAAAACATGAATATGAGGAATGCAATGAAAACTACGGCCCAGAAAGTTTTCTTAGTACACATTTCTGTGGCCTGAGTGCACCCATGGTTCCACTGTGGACAAGAAGCCACGGTGCTGGGAGCGTGTGGTCTTTCAAAGGGGAGGGGCGGTGGAAATGGCTCTGTTAGACTAGAAGCCCTCGGCCAGGTAATTTTGCCCCAAGGGACATTTGGCAATGTCTGTGCACGTCTGGTGTGGTGGTGGAGCTACAGACATCTAGTGGGTGGAGCCCAGGAATGCTGCTAAGCATCCTATAGGACAGCCCCCGCCACGAGGAATTATCCAGACAAAAATATTCCAAATGAGGAATCCTTGTTTATGGGCATACCACGTCCGATCTCGGAAGCTAAGCAGGGTCAGGCCCGGCTAGTACTCGGAGGGGAGGAATCCTCTGTTGGTTCAAGGGTTCAAGCAGTAACTTTGGAGATACTTCTTAAGGAGCAAGTCACAGTCAACTGCCTCTCCCTTGAGCACCACTTACCCGGAATTCCTCTTTAATCTGGCTTGAATTTGTCTGTGGATCCAGTTTGTTCATGTCATAATACAAGGACCTAACTTGGGAAGCGGGGACAGAGGTGTCTCCACAAAGACAGGCTTCTAGGATGGCGTCATGGATGAACACATACTGCTCCTGCAGAAGCAGATGGAACTAGTTAGTAATAGAGAAATCAAGGTAATCTTAGAGAACTAGAGACAGAGGAAAGACAGTATCAGTTTTAGCCCCATGTCAACAAGATACTCCCTCCACATAGAGAGACAGGTCCGAGGACTTGAGTGCTAGGAGACTGGTGTTCAACGCAGAACATTACACAGCTTGAGTAGACCCGCCCAGACCCCGGTGCAAAGCACAGCAAGCACTGCAACACTGCAGCTGTGGCTAAAATACCTCTGTAATTCCCAGCCCACTAATTTGGACCCCAATATTTCAGATGAGGAATGAGCAGCACTTTATCTATCTATAATGAATACAGAATGTGCTGATCAAAATAATAGTGCAAAGAAGGTCTGGGGAAACTTGACATCACTAGGAAGACAAAGAGTTCTGAATACTTAGAACTTACTTCAAAACGTTAATTAATGTGATAATTATGAAAACTCTTATACACACACAGAAGAGCTCTTGTACGTATGTACAGTAAGTCCATAGTTTAAAAAAATGGAGCCTCTAATTCTGATTTGGCATAGACTTTCCCTACAGTTAATTAGTAGAGTTTTATCATATTTCTTATTGATCTTTAATTATATGAGATATTTAAAAAGTCTCTTATTACTGTTAATTTAATCTCTATAAATAACTAGGACTCTTAATTCCCAAAAACATCCCACTCCTTACTAGACAACACGTCAAAAAAGAAGACTGAGTGAGAAAATGCGTGTGGCAACACTGGATCAAGTGTAAAGTACATTAAAAAATAAATCTTTGAAACACAGTATCCCCTTGCTAAGGAAAAGAGATCATAAAAGCAGCATTTACAGTTTCTGTTATTTTTATGTGAACTAAAGAAAATGGGAGATTAGGTTTGCAGAGGCTTTTGCAAACTTCCACGCCCAACCTGAACGTAAGGGGTTCTCACTGCTCCGCGTTCTACGTCGTGAATCATTTTCCAGGGGGTGGGTGTAACGCCTACTTATGACGATCAGTATTAGTAAAAATATGAAGGCGCTAAGAGCAAGATGTAATGCTTTTTCTTAAAAAGTTAAATTCCTGATACACCTTGAATTTCAATTTGTGGAATTACCAGTTAGCATGGAGTACTTCTACAAAATGGGCAGATTCCCAAGATGCCAAGTCACTGGGCAGAATGTTCAGGGACAGGAGGCTACTGCTCTTCCCAGCGCCCTGGAGAAGGACAGAGCGTACAGAGATAATCCTAAAGCCACCTGGCAAACGCCTGGCTGTTCTCAGGGGTGGTCTTGCTCTGGTTACCAGCTAGTTTAAATGATAATAAAAAGGAATAATACTGAAACCCTGAATATTTAACACCAAGAGACTCTTCTTGGTCCCTTGACACAGAAAAACATGCAAATTTAGGCTCTCGGCTACACATTCTGTTACCTGGAAAGCTCTTGGCAATTTTTTTGTTTGTTTATGAAAGGAAAAGCAAAAGGAGGGAAGGAGAAAGGAAGGAAAGGATGGAGAAGGGAGGAAGTGGGAGGAGAGGAGGGAAGGAGGGAGGAAAGGAAGGAGGGAGGAAGGGAACAGGGGCTGCCAGGTGTATCCCTTGAAGAGATAACTGCCTGGATTTCTTCTGCCCTCGGCTCTGGGCGGTGGGGCTGCAGGAGAGCAGGGGACCAAGGCCCGGGACAGGCGGCGAGCAGCAGTACCTCCGTTTGCACCATGTTCACCCTCCGTGACCGCAGCTCCCTGACGCAGTTGTAGATGTCCACCACCCCTTCCCTTTCGGCCATGTCCAGCATGATATCGATGACGATGAAGCAGCCGGTCCTCCCCGCGCCAGCACTGAATGAAAAGGGCGTGTCAGTGAAGGAAAAAGGACCACTGTGCTGCGGCTGCTGCTTTTTAAAGTTTTTATTAAGGTGAAATTCACATACTATAAAATTAACCCTCTTAAAAGGTACGATTCAGTGGCATCTGGTAGGTTCACAATGCTGTGCAACCATCACCACTATCGAGTTCCAAAACGTGTTCCTCACAGCCAGAGGAGTCCCTGTACCCATCGCCCACGGCGCTTCCTTGGAGAGGCACGGAGCTCGGCTTACCTGCAGTGCACCACCAATGGGCCTGCGCTGGGTGGGCTCTTGGATTTGACCTGCCGGACAAATCCCAGCAGGCCGGTGGCATGGTAGGGGACCCCATGATCCGGCCAGCCAGTGAAGTGAAACTGTCTGATCTCTCGGATTTCATGAACGCCTCTCTGCGTGAGTCGGTCAGCCACGACACAGAAGAGAACAAGGGAAGATAAATGAAAAGTTAGAGCAGCCAGAGGAGTGGAAGGCACCCCTCAGTGGTAAGTCTAGGGCCAGAAGCGGATTGCTGGGGAGGAAGGGCATCCTTAGACCCCATACACAATTTGGAAGGCATGTCCCACTCAGGAGGATGTTTGCGGGTGTGAAAGGGGAGATGACGTGTGGGGAAAATGCTAATTTACGTGGACAATTCCAGCAAATGGATGGATCTGTTGGGTTCTTTGAAATTCCTTTCTAAAAAGTAGACTATGGTAAAAGTTTGTGTTACTTAGACCATGAGGTGTGCTGGCAAGGTGAGAGTCCACAGAGAACGGCACAGAACAGGGGCCTAAAGGCGTCCCAGGCCATGTGGGTGTCAGTACCGGCTACTGCAATGAGGATGCCTGCCCTGGCTCTTCTGCATCCTGGTGCGTCTGCGCCAGGCACTCGAGCAGTACACACTCGCTGTGCGTGCTCAGAGACGAGTGCTGGAAGAGTGAATGAGGACTACTTCCCAGCTCGATAGGTTAGAGAACTCATTTTCATGCCCAGCTCATCTGTTAGGTTTCTCCTTTTAATGTGGGTAAACATTAAACCCATTCATCCAACCACTAGCAACCCGAGCGACCATAATGCTCCAGGCATCGCAGGAGGTGCTGGGCTACAGCAGCGTGTCCTCCAGCGGCCGGCACAGTCTGCGGTGGGCAACGGGCCCGTTGGCCAGACAAACCATCAGAATGAAGGGGTATTTCCGCTGGATTGTAGGTTAGGTCAGCGAATTGAGGAGGCAGGGCTGCCTGCCCCTCAACTGAAGGGAAGACGAAGGAAAGAGATTGTAGGGTTGGAAAGAGATTGTAGGGTTGTTTTTGTTTTTAATTTACTATTGTTTTGTGAATAATTAAGTTCATTTATACCCATCAATTCCGTTTTCTGACTATGAGCCTATGTATTAAGACTGTGATTTAAAGCAAAAGAGTGTTTTGAAAACAAAAATTACTTCCAGAATGAAGGCTGCATGTAAATCTGGGATCGAATGTGACTTTCTTCCCTCTCTAACTCCATGGCTGTTTTCTGAATACCATCTCTGCATTACAGTAGGCCTGGGTTTGGTTTTATTATATCTTGAAAGTAAACACTCATTAACCTTATCACATTCCCCATCAATCATCGTTCACACATATTTAGTGAGCAAAGAAGAAATCCAGAATTTTTATGTGCTTTGAAAGACCAGAAGAGGCAAACAATTACAGGTTTAAAGATAAGACTTGTTTGCCATCAATGTGTTAATGTCTTAGTTTCATAACTCACAAATGCTGAAGCTTTATTTCTCTTTGAAAATGCTATTCTTTTTTTTTTTTAATCTCACTGTGTTGCCCGGGCTAGAGTGCCGTGGTGTCATCCTAGCTCACAGCAATCTCAAACTCCTGGGCTCAAGCCATCCTCCTGCCTCAGCCTCCCGAGTAGCTGGGACTACAGGCATGCGCCACCATGCCCGGCTAATATTTTCTATATGTTTTTAGCTGTCCAATTAATTTCTTTCTATTTTTAGTAGAGATGGGGTGTCGCTCTTGCTCAGGCTGGTCTCGAACTCCTGAGCTCAAAGGATTCCCCTGCCTCGGCCTCCCGGAGTGCTAGGATTACAGGCTGAAAATGCTATTCTTCACCTGAGTTTAAGCATTAAGAATTCAGCAGTCAGGGATTCACAAATGCAAATCAACACTGTCATCTGTTAAATAGGCTCTTCTGTGATCCTAGAATAATATCTTTAGGTGGTTAGGAGCCCAATTTCTTAGCACTGAAACCATAGTAACATCTGGCTGGTCCCAAAGTCTCCATTAGAAAGACACACAGTGGACCCTGTGTCCCCCTGCAGACCCCTCGAGAGCTCCCCTGGCTTGTGTGTGGCTACTCGGGTAGGGGTGGTCCTAATTTGGCGGTATGCATCTCATGAGCTGGGAAAGATTACCAGCAAGAAATATTTATTTATTTCAAAGGGGACAAAAGGGCATTTCTTTCTGCCATATACTAGTGGGCTGTTTTTTGGGGGGAAGGGGGGAGGACTTCTCTTTCTGGCTTTGCTACATTTCAACTCCAGCATCCCCAAGCCCTGAACTACAGTTTCTAGCTGATCTAAGAATAATTTTCTGAGCAAGGTAGATGTCAGTTTCTGGAATGCGGAAAACCTTCTCCCAAAATGAACCTCTGCCTCAAACATGTTCACTATTGACAAGATTAACAAAGGAAATTGCTTCTGATCCAATTTCCATTCTTGTTCACTGACATAGCAGTTTCTTGTTTTGCTGTTTTGTAATATAACATATTTGGGGACGAGCATCCATAGATGTGATCAGTGATCATAGCCCAAATACTTCCCAATTTGATACTAATTATATACGTATTTTTTATTTTTCATTATAGTAAAGCATTAATACCATATAAAAAGTGACAGTCACTTAAGTTTCCCACATAATATAATGGGAAGGAAGATCCCAAGTCATAGAATAAACCTACAAGAAACGTTCTGCAAAAGTATTAATTATTTGTTTTCCTTAAAGATTCCAAAGTAGGTGTTTAATAAATATTTGTGAAATGAATAATTGCTAAGTGTAGGTTCGTCTTTGAGACAGGAATATTTTTTCATGCTGTCTCTGAGTCCTAGGCTCCTGCTGAGCAGAGAGGATTCAGTGGTCATTGTCAACTTCATTTCTGCCAGGATACAGGGATAGATTCACCACACAGCACGGATCTATGGACACTTTTGAGCTGTCTTTCTCCTGACACAATGGGCACTACACGTTATTTAAAACCTGTTCAGCTTAGAATCATCAGAAACGTGGGAAAGGAAAGGCAACAATCCAATGCAAAACAGGAATTCATCAGTTTCAAACTGCATTGCAGCTGCTTGTTTTGCAGAGTGGAGCCCCCAGTCCACTTCACCTTTAGGGCCCTTGATGCAACATGCTCTCAAAATAGAATTGGAATTGCAGGAATCTCAAAGTACATGCTTAATTGTTTTTTTCTTTCCCTTCTAATGAGAAAGTTTAAAACTTACAATAAATGTTCTAAGAAAGGACTAATGATTCGTTTTCCTTAAAGATTCCAATTGCCCAGTTAGAAAACCACTAACGTGTCATTTTGATTTCCCCAAATGCATTAACAAGCTCCTCTTCCTTCTCTTTCCTCCACCACCTCTTCACTGGTTGTCTGATGACTAAAATAACTGGGTATTTCAGAAACATTTCTGTGCAGCTGGGAATGGAGGAAAGTATAATAAGAGGTTAAAAAAATAGCAAAGAAACAAACAAATCCTTCCTCTAGCAACAGAGATGCATTTTCAGCTTATTAGAGAGCTGACTATTGTTCAAAGAACTCCATGTTTAAGTGATGGCTTTTGGATGACTTTTTTCCTAAAGAAAAAAAATACTACATGTCTTTTATAACTATCTGTTTTAATGCAGCTATTCATGAGTGCTCTTGCCAAGAGCCATACAAAAATCCTCCATGTGGGTTTTTTTTTTTTTTTTTCAATCCTGCCTAAGAAGGAAAAAATCGACATCAAAGTATGAGGTTCAGAACTTGAAGAATTGAGTCAACTAGAACTCCACATTCTTTGAAGTCTCCAAGCTTTCTGCCTGCTTATTAAAAAAGACACGCTAGGAAAAAAATGCTAAATAGTATGAGAAACAGATTAAAATAAAGTCTTTTCAGACTTCTGATTCTATGACAAATTTGGATCTGCAAACCAGGAAAGGCAGTTCAAAACATCAGGGTCAATTAGCCAATAAGCAGACGCTGCAATTTCCTTGACTTCCTAAAACTGGTCTTGTTAATCTGAGAAGTGTGTGTAGATGCAGTCAGACTACAGAGAGGAAGGCCAAGAGACATCTGCCCGGTAGTCCGCTTATAACCCATGCCTTCTAAGGGCAGCTGCTTTTTATTTTTGTTTTTAGAAACAGGGCTTCACTCTGTTGTACAGGCTGGAGTGCAGTGGTGTCATCACAGCTCACTGCAGTCTTGAACTCCTGGGCTCAAGTGATCCTCCTCCCTCAGCCTCCCAAGTGGCTGAGACTATAGGCGTGTACTACCATGCCTGGCTAATTTTTTACTTTTGTGTAGAAACGAGGTCTTGCTATGCTGCCCAGGATGGTCTTGAAGCCTTGGTCTCAAGTGATCCTCCCACCTCAGCCTCCCAAAGTGCTATGATTATAGGTGTGAACTTGGCCTCGGGACCTGCCATTAAATGAGTGTACGCAGAACAAATTCATGGCAAAATTGCTAAGTCCAGTGCAGCTGTGCAGGCTCAGTTATGGAGAATAAGCTCTTGATAGGAGAGCCTGTGGACCTTTGGAAGGCAGGGCATTTCTCAGCCAGGTCACCTCCACTTTCCCCACAGCCTACCTGTGACACTTCTCTGGATGGACTGCAGTTTGCTTCACCTCCGGCCCCTCCCTATGTCAGCAGAAAGAGGGGGAATAAGGAAATTCCCTGTTATGCCCTACAGTGCTTTCCAGAGAAGAAGCCCCATCCATGCACATGGGATGAGGCGGGGTAGAACCAAAGCACCGCATTCACCGACCCAACAGCAGCAACTACCAAAGGCTAACGTCAGCATGGGAGTGAGCATGAATGAATAACCAGCTTCATGCAAGAATGTCCCATGTCCAATGGCCATCAGTCACTTAGGATTCCAGGTAGGTCTACCTGGAAAATCCATCAGTCTATATTAAACTGGAGGCTTGCAAAGCCCCAAGGAAGTGAGGGATTCCAGGAGGAGTTAGGACCTGTGTCTCAACACTGATCCTGACTCACTACCAGGAAACCCATATGGACATACACCATGAAGGAAATTTATCAAATTGGAAGGACATTTATCAAAATTTAACAAACTTTGTTCTGTGGACAAAGAAAGAGAGAAGGGAATAACAATATTTACCAGGTTAACAAGAAAAAGAAAACAAACAAATAGACGTTATCGTTTGGTTTAGTTGCAAAATACAGATTCTTATGAAATGGGAATGATTTATTTTAAAGATGGAACTGAGCTATTACAGCATCAGAGGGCAAGATGCAATCTTTAGAAACCACCAGATAGAGCCTACCTGCATTCAGGTATGACCACATATAAATTTTCCTAGGTAAGTTAATGAGGCTGGTATAGTACCACTGATGTCTGATCATAGCCTTTAACATTAGTATGAAAACTTACCTTTTCAACAGCAAATGTTCTTATCACATATTCTGCCAGTAGTTCTGTTTCTATTAGGGTAACTTTAATGTCTTTATATATCTCTGTGTCATCTGGCCAGTATTTGCAGCATTTGACCTTTAGAAAACACAAAGGAAATAATGGGTTTAGAATTGGGTTTTTGTTTTTTGGAGTTCTTCCAATAATGGGTCACATTATGATTTATAGGATAAAATTTGCACACAAAAATAAAAGTTAACTGTGTAAGAGTAAGGTTTAGGTTTTTTTTTTTTTTTAGATCACCTATGTTTTTCTCTCCCCAGAACAAAATTTGAGTTATGGGAGAGGTAAAACCTAAAAAAATGGTCTAAAGTTAACAAATTGCGTTTATACTACAAATATCCCAGTTATAGTAACCATTCATTTCCTGTGCATCTCTACTCAGGGAATGGCTGGAAAAATAAACTATGAAAGGAAGTTTGCAGTATTTTAGTTCTTCTGAATTTTAGTTCTTTCTAAATTTCCTTCTAGTTTCAGAAATTGAAAATTTTTGAGGAATGAGCAGAAAATCAGAATCAACACTAAAGAGTTATTTTTTTCTGAAGAAGGAAGTAGCTATGTGGTTTTCCCAAGTTAGAACCACAGATTCATCTTAATGTACATAAATTCAACAAACAAAGCTTCATAACATATGGACACTGTCTTTCCATATTATCTGAAGCCTCTAACCTAAGGATTTTTTCAGGTAGAAGCAATTTGTTAGACTTGGCTCCTCCTTGCAAATTGGTTTTCTTAAAAATCTGGTGGCTCTTCCGGACATCAGTGAAAGTGTGAGATGAGAGGAGAGGACGATCAGAGGCTGGGCAGGGACACGTGGACATCTGGAGCCCTCGTCCTTAGCCTCTTCTGCCTCTCTGGGATTCTTGGCAGTTTCATCCACTCCTGTCCCTGCCCCTCCATGGATGAATTTCTATTCTGTAACTCTAGCCGTGTCTCTCCATGTGCTGAATTTGATTTTTCTTTCTTTTTTTAGAAATAGGGTCTCACTCTGTCGCCCAGGCTGGAGTATAGTGACATCATCACAGCTTGCTGCAGCCTCGAACTGCTGGGCTCAAGAGAGTCTCCTGCCTCAGCTTCCTGAGTAGACAGGCCTACAGGCCCATGCCACCCTGCCTGGCTAATTTTTTTTATATTTTTTACAGATGCCATGTTGCCCAGGCTGGTCTCCTCGCCCAGGCACAAAACGTGGTGATTCCTTCTCCAAAACCCAACCAGTTGCCAAGTCTAGGAATGTCTTTGAAATAGCTTTCAAATGTGTTTTCCAACTTTTTATTTCCCCTGCCACAATCCTAGTTCAGGCGCTGGAGTCTTCCTGCCTGGGCAGTCTATACACTCCAGTACCAGAAAGTACCAGAAAGACCCTTCCCAGGTGTAATCTCTGTCCCGTGACCTGCTCTGCTAAAGCATCTCCTATTGCCAACTACTGTCTGTGAAATAAAACAGAAACTTTTTGGTCTGGCATGGAAGAATATATATATATATTTTTTGAACATGGCCACAGCAAACATTTCCAGGCTTATCTTTTACTATTGTCCTTTCTATCCACATAGATTTTATGTCCAAGGACAAGTATTATTCCTAATCCCCAAACATACCCCATGATCCAAACTCCTACTCATGCCATTCCTTCTGTTTAGAATGTTCTCCTCCCACCCATTTCTTCCCAATTGAAGATTTTTTTCCTACTCTTCAAAGTACGTCTCAAACGTAGCAGCCCTCCTCAGTCTGCTCTGCAGATGTGGACTCTTTCTCTGCTCCCCTGCTGAAACATGCTTGTTCTGAGCCTAGTGTGATGCCCTTCTTACAATGCTTGATACTTGCTTATCACTGGCCAGCTTATGTCTGCCACCCCTGAAACACCTGGTCATTTGTCCTGTATACGCTAAATATGCAATAAATACACACAAAACCGAATTTCATGGAGAAAGTCACAGGATCAGTATAGGAAGGAAAATCCCAGACTGGTAGAGTCTCAAAAAGAAATATGAGCGAAGAAGACCTGTCCCACAAGGCCAAACCCCTGCAGTACGTGAAGGTTTCCAGTGTGGCATGTGGCTGGTCATTATTTCCGCTGTTACTTTATGAAACTTTCTGGCAGCCGATTCAGTGCAGTTCCAGGTAAGCCTCATTAGGTTTAGTTGCAAGATGTACTCCAGATGCACTAGGAGTTGGAGATTCAGTGGAGCATGAGACTATGGTTCCCGCCCTCATTAAGTTTTTAGTCTCCTCTGGGAATCTTTTTTTGCCCATCATGGGAACATCTGTGACTTTATAAAGGTCTTGTCTATAATATCTCAGAAATTTACATCACGCTACCTGTGCGGCATCTCAAATATCCCAGAGTAAGACAATAATTTTTCCTTTCCTAGATGTAAAATCAGCCTGAACATATCATGGGTATTTTTGGAGATGTCTAATTTGATGGAAACCATAATTTCATTTATGAAATCTCTATCTAGCACTATACTTTCCCAATGCTAACCAACAAAGATGCTTATACGGGAAATACTGTATTCACCTCTATATCGGGGAACTTACTTTTACCTTTTAGTGACTTCAGTTATGCAAGCAGAAGGTAGTGGATAGATATAGAACTATAAATACAGCATGTATGTGCATTTTAAAAATAATTCTCAACGGAATGAATACAATTTAAAAATTCATGTATTTCTCTGAAAATTACGATTGAACAAAACACACAGCCACACCTGCAACCTTGTTATACCAAGTTTATCTTACCTGATAAAAATAACTTACCTAGATGTACCTTAATAAAAAGGAACTTACTGACTATAGGACGCAATTGACATAGCGCATTTTGTATTGTCACTATTCTCCTATTTAGACTCCTTTACTCTCCCCACCCTTGAATTTTCACTATGAGAGGCGGGTGCTTCAACGCCTTAAAATCAGGGAAGCCAGAGGCCCCTCCCATGTACAGAAGGCTCAGTTTCTTTTTGGGACTATTGAGAGATGAGCTCCCCCTCGGGCGAGTTCCGTAGGGTCCCATCCGAAACCGAGCCCACGGCGTACAGTCCCCGCCCGCCGGCCTGATACCTCCGGCGCCCCCGCTTGGGGCCGAGGTCCGGCTGGGTCGCCCAGGTTGTGACCTTCAGCGTGCCCCTGCCCAACAGGTGCGCCGCTCTCCAAGCCAAGCGAGTGAACGATCACAAGAAAACGCGGTCCGCTGCCCACTGCTCGGCACGGTGCCACTCCGCGCCGCCCGGATGCCTCCTCCTCCCACGAGGCGGGGATTAGGCGGAAGGAAGCGGGGCTGGCTCCTTCCAGAACGTGTGCGGGGCACAGCCCCCGCCCGCGCAGGCACCTGGCTGGGCGGGCCCCACAGAGGCGGCCGAGCCATTTCCAATCCGGTCCTCTCCATCTCCTCTCCCAGAATATCCTGAAATGGTCTGGCGCATCTGTTTCCAGCCTACTAAAAACCATTCTGAATTGGGTTTCTTTTAGTATCTTTTTAACTGCTTGGACTCGTGTCAAGTTATTATTTTGCATTAAAAAAAAGGAAAAGGAATAGAAAATATGCTTTTTTCTCTCTTAAGACTTTCCAAGTCAGGAGAGTCTGGGGCTCCTAGCGGCCCCTGTCCCCTAAGGTCTGCGTTCCGAGATGCCAAAACCACTGGTTTGAGGGGTCTTGCTGGAGCCCAGGAACCCGAGAACCGGAAGCTGCCTCCTGCAGCCCTACGCCACCTGCAGGGCTTCTAGAAGAGGCGGCGGCGCCTCCCACGCATTCTAATCACGGAAGGCAACAGCCTGCAGCCCAGAAAGCGAGGCCATATCAGGATCGGCTAATTACCCCAGTGCCCAGCCAGGTTCCACCAGGCCATCAATCAAACAGCACTGAGCCTGCCGCCTGCTCATTACTGCCCCAGGGCAGCGGGAGTAGATGCTGTGGTCCCTGCTCCAAAGGGGTGATCTTTGTTGGCTTTCAAATTCACAGACATGAAACAGTACAGAAAGCGCTGTAAACTCCAGGATTTCTAACTTCCTGGAAAAAACAATCTTTGAGGTGAGTCATTTTTAAGCAGCAGCCCAGATGATTCCCACGCACATTAAAGTCAGAGGATGGGCAGGGGGCTAGAGCCCTAGTTCCCCAGGTGGGCAGCACATTAACGTGACCTTCAGAACACCCTGACATTGCTACAGCAGCAGTTCTCAAACTGAAGCAGGCATCAGACTCCTTTGGAGGGATTCTGAACAAATTCAGTAGGTCTGAATTTGTGTGCCTGCAAATGTGCATTTGGAACAAGCTCCCAGGTGATGCTGCTGGTCTGCGGGCCACACTCTGAGCAGCAAGGACTGAGTCACAACCGGACTGCAAAGTGTGGCTGGGCCAGGGTGCTGATGTGAGCGTGAGGAGGTCAACCTCAGGTGCTTCCTCTGTAAAGAGGGGACAATTATGGTTCCTCTGGCAGAGTGTTCTAAGAGCCAGTCAGCTGTTCCCCAGTTTGCCTGCACATCAGAATCACTTGGTTGCGGGGAGGGAGGTCTTGACAAATTCCAAAGCCCAGGCCACACTCCAGGGCAATTCAGTCATGACTTCTGGGGTGGGACAGAGGCACCCCAGAATTAGTTTCTTGAAGCTCTCCAGGAGGTTCCAAAGTGCAGATGAGTTTGGGAACCGCTGGATTAAGCGCTATGATGTGATGACAGCACTTGGCCATGTGCCCAGTTCAATGCTCAACAAATGGGAAATTTTTATTACTAAGTGACAGTTTTGTGATCTGGACCCTAGGTGACTACAGGGGCTCAGAGGGCCAGGAGCCCACGAACGGGCAAGAGAGGAGAGGCAGGGCTTCCCAGAGGAGGCGGCACAGAGCTGAGCACTGACAACCTGTGTGGTTTGTGAGGGTGGAGGGGAGGCAAAGGAAACGCCCTTGCTGCCTTAATTCCTCTGTCCCTCAACCTCTTCCAAGGACTGAGAGATGTGAGACAGGTTGGCACGTCCATTCTCCCATTAGTATGCTGTGATAACTCCCAACAGAAATTAGGAAATAGTGCCGTGTTGTGGGGAAGAATATTCAAATCAAATAGCGCTGCGAGGAATCCCAGAGACTGCTTCC